CTTAGATCTAACCTGAACTTCCCCTGTTTCTGTTTAATAAATACGAAATATAATAGAATTCTATTCTATAAATAATTAATTTCTAGAAAAGTTCTCTTGTATTCTGTAACTTCTTAACAAAGAACAATCGATTTAAGTAAATAAGCCTAGAATACCTTATTATTGTCCCCCCCTCTGAAAAAAGATATTTAATACTATCCACACACAAGAAGATATAATCTATTTGCAGCCTTCATTAAGGATCAGCTCCTTCTCATTTCTTAAGGCTCTTATTCCTAGGACAGGGAGATTGGACAAAAAGAGATAAAACTACATTCCATGAACTAGGAGTAACGACAAAACCACCACCAAGGAGATCTGCTTTCCTCTTCTACCACTAGTTTGAAACAAGTCTAAAGTCTTGTTGTTTGGAACCGGACGATCTTAAGGCCCTTTCCATCCCAAACCATTCTATGATCCTGTGAAGACACAGCTGCTTGAAATATCTGAGACTTCTACAGAAGCTTGGGAACTCACAAAGCGTTGGGCCTTCTGCCGCTCCTCTTCCGTCGCAGCTCGCTCGCGGAGAATGGCTCGAGTCAAATGCTCATTTGAAGAGATCCTCTCTTGTTCCAGGAGTCGCCCAAACTCGTCCCGAACATACATTTGCTCTTGTTTCAATCTACAGAAGGTGGAGGGAAATTTACATTGAAGGTGTGTTTTCCAAATGGACTTTAGAAGGACACTAGCACAATCACTTTAAAAGCAGTCACTGTAACATGTTATCGTCAGGCAGCTGAAGACACCTAAATCCCAGCAGTCACTACGAATTCCAGATGTTTATTTCAGATTGAAGTGTCAAACTCAGAATACACAAAAGCTCCAAGCCTTAGAAACAATATTCATTACATCTTATCAAATACAACACATTTAAGAGCTTTATGAAAGTACATTCTTAAGTAACAAGAACACATGTGGAGCTCTGTTGGTTTATTGCTTTTGTTCTGTTTTTAAGGAACCCTTTTAGCAGGAAAATCCTTCTCCCCACCAGTCAGTTGGCACCAGCTAAAAGCTCTGCAATGGGAAAATGCCTTCTTACCTCTGGACACATCATAAACCCAAATATAGCACCAATTTACCAAGCTGCAAAAAGATCCCACATCCATAATAAACCTTCCCCAGTGATTTGAGACAATGCGATGAAACCAGCTATTGAATTTGTTGCACCACAGTTAATAAAGGCAACTCCAGCCCCAGAAAATCCTCAACACTAATGTCACAAACCATAAACACGTTGGCAATCTTCACTGTAGGACTTGGTTATAAGCACACCACATCTAATTATCATGAAAATACAGAGATGCAAGTTGTTTAGCTACTAAAACTTATCTGTTGCATGTATGTTGTGACACTGAAGTCAGCATTAGGGAAGTCAGAATAGAAATGGCAGCACGAAACACTGGTTTTGAAATAGATTTTTGAAAGAGTGATGGAGAGGAAGCTTAAGTATTCTCAGTGCATTTATCTGTTGTCAAGGGAGCTTCAAGAGAACAAATTGTAATGAGGAGGGTCACTTTGTAAAAGGCACCAGCATTACAGTACATTAGATTCCTCCCCAGGGAACAGATTTAAGTGAGGTGGGGAGGAAAAGAAAAGACAATTACAAGATGTATTACTTGTGTGCTCAGATACAACCCTCTGAAACGCAGCAACCAACTGGGAATCTTGATAAAAAGTTTATTAAGCAGCATCTTCAATTACTCTAGCAGGGGGAAAAAAAAAAAAGTCAGATTATGCAGACATGGACCAAATTCCATTAAGTGATTTCCCAAGGTCCCCCAAATTATTCCTGCAGCATTGCTATAACAAATCCTTCACACAATCAATGGTGCAGTCAAAACACGCTGGTTGTCTTTTCCATTGGAGAAATCATGTTTTGTCTAAGGAGGAAAAGAAGTGTCAAAATAGAAGTCTCAGCAGCTGCTTCTTGTGAGAGACAGCAGAGAGTTTAGTGTTTCCTGAGACTCAGGTAAGGTCCTTCCACATCCCTTCCGGATTTTACTTCCCACAAGGGATATTCCCCTAAAAGTTGCTCTTCTTTCTGCATGCTGTACCTAACAAAGTCATGTAAGTGTATGGAATCAGACAATATCTGAAAGAGGCTTCCAGAGGTCTCCAAATTACAAACTCCCCAAAATCAAACTCAAAAACCTACTTCTGCATTTACATCTCATTTTTGGCAAATTACCCCATGTGTATTTGACACAAGGCCAGTTAAGTCTTCTCCTTCTTGCCCTTGGAATTATGAACCTTTGTGAGATCTCCTCCCCACCTCTCTTGCAAAAAGGGGTCAGTTTTCCTAACACTTAAAAATAATGGGCTTCTAATGTCAGGATAAACCCTCTGACAGCTTAACCCACATTCAGCTTCCCTACTCAGCACCCTACAGAAGAATGGGCTGTTGTTTTCTACTCTTGACCAAACTCCACATGTCCTTTTCTACAAGCTTGCTACAAGACACTGGTCTACATGAAGGTGTCCCTGACCATGGCAGAAGGTTGGAACTGGATGAGCTTTAAGGCCCCTTCCACCCCAAATCATTCTATGAATCAATGATGACACAAACTCATCTACGTTCACAAGTCAACTGACTCCTCACCCTACAGTGAGCCACTAAAAAGCTTTTCAGACCCTCTGACACCCCTCAGTTAGGTGACAAAACCACAGAGGTGGGTATGGCCACACCAGCAACAGAAGGGATGGAGATATAATGCTGGTTTGCCACAGGCAGAGAGCTCAGGGCAAGACTTGCTATCTGGACCTTAACCAGCCATTTAAAATTAAGCCAAATAACTTGATACTACACTACAGCCATTCCAGGTTTCAGGATCTTCTTGGCCATGAACTGCTATATCCAACCACAGCAAGAGTGGAAAAGATGGGGATAGAGAACCCAAAACTGGCACCTATAAAAGTCCTACCAAATTGTATAACCCTATATCTGATCTTGAAGTTACTGGTTTCCAAGTACATGATGTGATAAATCGCAGAAAGAAGATTCTGTGCCATCTTTTGCTGGCAATTGCATCTCACTGTCATTGCCAAACCAAATCCCTAAGGAACTTCCATCGCAATGGAGTAACTGATAGGAGTGCAGAGGAAGTCCTTCACTTCCAACTCCCACCTTTGGTATTAATGCATTATCTGTGTTCAACAGATTACTATCCTCCCACCTTCTTTTTCCCCAATTCCATGGGTAAAATGGCATTACTGAACAGTTAAGTGCTGTTATCCTTCCCAACAGATGAATATGAAAACCAGTATTTAATACTAACTAGCTCTTTGATACCAATAATGATGTGAAATATCTACATCAAAACTGGAAAGATTTAATCTATGTCATTCATACCCTGTCATCCAAATTTAGTTTTCTTACTTACAGACCACCCTTCTTCCTTAAAGTGGGATTTCTTGATGTCTTCAGAAATCATAGGATTCCAGATTGGTTTGTGTTGGAAGGGACCTTAAAGCTCATCCTGCTCCAAGCCCCTGCCACAGGCAGGGACACCTTCCACTAGAGCAGGTTGCTCCAAGCCCCTGTGTCCAACCTGGCCTTGAACACTGCCAGGGATGGGGCAGCCACAGCTCCTCTGGGCACCCTGTGCCAGCGCCTCAGCACCCTCACAGGGAAGAGCTTCTGCCCAAGAGCTCATCTCAATCTAGTTTAACAAACTCCTAGACCATGACACCCAGTCACAAGCCATACAGCAATCATTTTACTGAGTTTTCTTTCTTCCTTGCATGGAAGGAAGAAAAAGAAGAACTCTATATTATTTCATGATCAAATTTCATACAACTGAGGCCAAAAAGGTACTTGGTTTATGTTCTTCTAAAGCATCCAAGCCTGCCTTGCTCATAATAGCATCTTAAAACAAAAGTGAGAAGTCTTGCCCATCTACTCTAACCCTCATTCATGTGATCAGAAATGCATCTCGTCATAGCTCCAGAACAAAATACAACTAGATAACTTCCTGAAGCACCTTTTTCATTTAGGGCAACTTTTACTCACAACAGAAGTCCTGAAAATCCATCTCACCTGATTTAAATTCAACAGTTTTAACAGAAGTGGGATTTTGAAGCAATTTCATGTATTTGAGTTACATGATTGAGTGACTGGTGAGGGCTTAATGAAACAATCACAAGGCAGATACGTGCTGATCCCAAACATTTCCTTGCATCATTTTACAGTAGTTTTCTTCTTTGACATTACAAATTCATTTTACTGGCATCCAGCATCTACTGCTGCTGAATAAAGGCAAGCATCAGCTAAATCTACAGTAATGAATTATATTATTATCTAGCCCAAAGTAAAACAAATAGATACATATGTATAATTTATAAGGAATTAAACAACTCAACTCATCAGTACAGTCCACTACTCCAAGAATTCCATGCAAATAAATCACTTAAAATGACATTTTTAATTACAACAAATATAAAGGCTCAAAAGAATGGTTCTCACATTTAAGCACAAAACTCTAGTTAACAGACAAGAGACATTATGCTGATCATTTACACAGAAAGAAAGTGGGTTTTAAAGTGCTGCTACAGCAGGGGAGGCTGCTAGCTATCCATTTTTCTTTACAGTTGATAGTTTGAGTAAAATCCTTCTAAATAATAAGGAAATACTGTTTCAAGATGTGTCCTGCTATTTACAGTAAGTGATTTAATGAAATAGAGAATGCAATGCTATCACTTTTCCATAGTGCTAGTAGAAAATACACATAAAGCATTAACAAGAACATCAATGTACTGAAGTTTGGATTTATACTTCTCAGTATTTCATGTTCTCAACTGTTTTATAGCACACAATCATACACAAAACCAACAACCCCTGCCTTTCTACAGCACTGTCTCTTAGGACTTCAACGCTGAGTTAATGCTATGAAGTAAATTTATATACTTGTACTTTTGACAATTCAGTACCAAACTGCCAATTATTAAGTCACTTATAACCCCTAAAGCTTCTGGCACTCAAATTCTACATAATAGCTTCTTTCACCCATCCTTTAAATGCTTGATGATTATCTCTTACTTTATAGAACGGGAAGCACAGTCCACAGCTCTCAAAATCATGCAATCACTTACACTGGATGGGATTTCCCTGCTGTTGTGAAAGTACTCTAAAACCACCTTTGCCTTTTCATAGAACCACAGAAAGGTTTAGGATGGGAGGGACTTTAAAGCTCCTCCAGCTCCAACCCCTGCCACGGACAGGGACGCCTCACACTAGAGCAGGTTGCTCCAAGCCCCTGTGTCCAACCTGCCCTTGAACACTGCCAGGGATGGGGCAGCCACAGCTCCTCTGGGCACCCTGTGCCAGCGCCTCAGCACCCTCACAGGGAAGAGCTTCTGCCTCATATCTAACCCGAGACATAAGTGAAGTCAGAAGATGCAGCTAGCTTCACTCTCCAACCACAGTGCAGCAGAATTAGAAACTTAAGAAGCCAACAAGAAAGCATCTCAGATGGGACAGTCTATTTCCTGTATCTCCTAAGAAATACAAGATGACATTCCAAAAACAAAGGCACAATAAAAAACTCTGCTGCACTCAAAACAAAACAAAAGCCCTTTTTAAATGAGTTCAAGAAAATAAAATCATTAATTCTCTCACATCCACTT